GGACTTCGTAAGTAGGGTTATAACTAAGGTAGCTATACTTATAACCCCCCAATTAGGGGACTTATAACCTTACTTACTAAGTCCCACGATCCTGCAAGTAGGGTTTAGGGAAGTTTGGGGCTTGTTTAGCTGCCTGGGTTTTGATCTTCCGGGTTGGAGGAAGTTTGGGGCTTCTTTGCGGGCTTGGAGCTTCAAGGCTTAGGGTTTAGGGTTTTAAGGTTTAGGGTTTAGGGTTTAGGGCTTAGGGTTTAGGGTTTTAAGGTTTAGGGTTTAGGGCTTAGGGTTTAGGGTTTTAAGGTTTAGGGCTTCTGTGGGTTTAGGGCTTAGGGTTTTAAGGTTTTGGGTTTCGGGTCATCTGCCTGGGTGGCCTTCAAGGAGTTCAGGGAGCCTCAGGGCAGCTGCGGGGTCGGAGCTGCAGAGCTTCAGGGTTTAGGGTTTAGGGTTTAGGGTTTAGGGTTTAGGGTTTAGGGTTTAGGGTTTTGGATCGGAACAGCGCCTGAGGCACCATGAAGCCCTAAGGCGCCATAAGGGCGGACCTCAAAGCCCAAGCCTGTTGAAATTTCATATAGTGGCCTTAACAATTAGAATAGGGTTTTGGGAGTTCCTTCTTATGCTTATAGTATAGTATACCCCCAAACCTTATTCTAATTTATTATACTTATAGTTCAATATACCCCCAAAGCCTATTCTAATTATCATAAGGCTCCTTTTAAAAAAGAATCCCGAAAGCCCGGCAGTTGGAGCCCTTTTGAGGCGGAGTTCTGGAAGCTGGACCTTCCGAGCCGCTCCGGCAAAAGCCGCCGCAGTGGCAGTGGGAAGACACCCGCGAAGAAGACGAAATCCCCAAAGAAGACGACGAAATCCCCAAAGAAGACCACAAAATCCCCGAAGAAGACGAAGAAGACACGGACTTCCGCGCTGAAGCTTGCAGAAAAGAATGCGTGACGGGTTTTGGAGTCTAGGATTGTGCTGTTTTGTTTTTCTGGGTTGCTTCTGCGGAATATGAACTCATGGCCGCACAGGTTTCTTATAGAGAATGCCGTGGTATGGCGTCGATGTTCCTTTCGTACAAGGAGGAGCAGTAGCCACAGTGGCAAGAACAGTCTTGGAGCAATGCGCACGCACAGGCGCCCACACACACAGAGAGCATCAAGACATTGGCGTGCTGATGGCTTTTTGCTTGGGCCAAGAGGTTCGACGAAATTTGCACCACTTGGATGTTCATGGGTAGTTATAAGTGGAGTTATAAGTCCCCTAATATAGGTTATTATTATAGTTACCCTACTTATAACCCTACTTATAACTGCCCATGAACCTCCAAGCAGACGGTAGATGGCACTGGCTTCGTCTGAGACTTGGCGGTCGCAAAGGAGTTGTGTTAAATCGCAATCTAGGGCAGGTGGCTCAATCTGCTGTTGCACCCTCCACACGTAAGCATCTTGAACTTGTTCGGGGCCAGAGAATGTGACAGTGGCGAAGCCGAAGCAGGAACAGGAGTAATCAACATCTGCAGGCGCGCGATGTGACATGCCGCCATGCCTCCTTTCTGCAATCCCCTAGATCATCCTCACCCTGTTTTTAAGATCAACCAGGGACCTTGCAACCCTCGTCTTCTGCCGCCCAAACCCAAACCGGCGTGATATCTGTCGCTGCTCGCCTTCAGACCTCTATGTCCTGTCTGCTTGAAATCAAAAGTCAGAGCCCTTCGAAGAGCTTGCTTTGCAGGGCCATGGAGGCAGCCACTGCAAGCATGATGCGCAACTCCTGGACCGCTCGGAAGCGGTAACTGTGAAGCCATGAACCTGGGAGATTCCGGCACCCCTTAATTAATTCAACAGAGGAGAGCTTTAATCGGGTCATAGGGGATATCGGATCTAGGCGCCTCATGGGTTTCTCACTATTAGTTGAAGGGAAGGTTTCGGCACAGTTACCCGGCTCGGATGTCGGGCCTTCGGATCGTTGCCTCTACTTGGGGAGCTTCAGGCTGCGACTTTCGGCAGGCCCGAAAGCATCCTAGAATCCGATTATGCCGAAATTCCAGACCTACGCTAATTCGGACATACCGCTTTTGTTCACCGTGGCAAACATCCAGCATAATCTCGAGGTCGGCAGAAGTAGCACCTGATAATGTCTCCATCGAGCCTCCTAGGTTATCACGTTACAAGACTCAAGACCATAGTAGAGCTTCATGCGCAGCCTCGGTGGGGAAAAGTCGCATCTTCAGGAGCTTGCCGCAGCTTCAGAGCCACATGCAGCGGGAGGCCAGGTTCAGAGTGAAGTTGGTTTTGGAATTTAACACACGGGCCAGTGGTGGGTGGTCGGCATCGGTTGTTGCAAGTCTTTCCCGGTAGAGTCGCTGCAGACCGGACGCAAAAACACAGGGGCCAGTAATACTAGTTAGGATAGGGTGTCGGGGTATATAAGAGATTATAGTCTATAGTAGAACCAGATATTGGCACTGTAAGGAGATACTATCAGAGATTACCGGGGCATGTCGCATTTGCTCCGCACTGGCACTGGAGCAAACAGACTCCAGATAGTTCGGGGGCACTGTCTTTGGCCATGTTTTGTTTGCTACTTGCTGGCGCTAAACCCAGAAGCCGTACTTAGGCTCGGAAAGCTGTTGACTAACGGCAGCTTCCCTGCGAGCATAGCGACAATGAATCGTGCATTCTCCGGGATTTTGTCCAACGCGTCTCCGAGCAAGTTTGCAGCAGCGGGCTGCCTTGGCCGATTTTGCAACTCTTTCACCGTGCGAAGCGTCGTTGAAGATGGAGCATGGCGTGTCAGTTCTTTCGGACGAGTCCGATCCCCTGCCGGGCTTGCAACTCACGGCTCCCTGACGAAGTCTGGCTATAAAAAGGTGCAGATACACGGGCGGACATACCTTGTGCATCGGTTGGTTGCCACTGCATTCTTAGGCCCGCCGCCGACAGCAGACCAGTGGCAGGTGAACCACATCGACCTCGATCCGTCCAACAACCATGTAGGCAATCTGCAGTGGGTGACGGCAGCGCAGAATGCCTTGCATTCCTGGAAAACCAATGTTCGACGAACTGCTGGGGAAGTCTTTAAGAGTAAGCCTACCTTGTGGCGCCCCTGCCATACACATTCTTGGTTGCTCTGTTCGTCTCAGAAAGAAGCTGCCGAGATGTCTGGGGTGTCCTGGGTTGCAGTGTCGAGGTGCTGTGTGGGATTGCAGAAAAAGTCATTCGCGAACGCGTCGTGGCACGAATTCAAACCGGCAGGCGCAGCCGAGCCATTCCGCGATGAACTTTGGGAAGCGGGCCGATATCCAGGCGATAACGAGCCGCTCCACGGAATATTGGTGAGCAGCTGCGGGCGGGTCCGCTTTGCAACCAAGCACCACCGCCACACCACCTTCGGATGTAGCACAGCCGAAGGGTACTGCACCGTCCAGGCCGCAGGACGTCAGCGGTTGGTGCATCGAATGGTCGCAGCCTCTTTCCTTGGTCAGCCTGTGCCACCAAGGACGCAGGTCAACCACAAAGACGGCAACCGCGCAAACAATCGCCTTGTCAATTTGGAATATGCGTCACCGTCCGAGAATATGCTCCACTCCTTTTCGGCTGGGATTCGAGTACCATCCGGAAAAGGCATTCCGGTGAAGGCCCGCAGGCCATCAGCCGCAGCAGAGTGGCAGAAGTTTCCATCAATCCGAGCAGGCGCCTTGCATACTGGAGTGCAAGTGCATCGGATTGCAGCATTGTGCAGGGCTGGTGGAGCCGATGCTTCCTTGAACTGGGAATTCAGATTTGCTGTGGAGGAGGACATTCCCGGTGAAGAGTGGCGCTCAGTGGTGCTTGAAGAAGCTCGGGCGCAAGGGCCACAAAGAAGCTCGATGTAGCGAACTGTTGTCTGTCGCAACTCGCAAAAAAGCATCAGCCGCCGAGAACCCATACTCTGGATATGGAAACCAGCCATTAACCTCGGACTGAATGCTGACTGAAAAACGTCGTGAGTGCCGAAGGTGCAGCATGCAAGATCTTCTGCATTTGCCTTGCATGTAATGGCTAGATGGCACCACAGGCTCGCAACACGCGCGACTACGTACGTATGCATGTGGGTTTCGGACGAACAGGAGTTCAACTGACAGCCAACTTCTTTCCATATAATCTCTGAACTAAGCCTTGAACGCTCTATTAATTACTTCTAATTTTGCAATTCGTCGGCATGTGGCGGTGGGGGCTGCTCGAAGCCTGCTCACTACTCCACGTTTGTTTGGATATTGCTGTGGATGTTACTCGTATTGCAAATTGGTTCGGTTGTGACGGGAGTTCCATATGAGCGTTTGGTTTCTGCAGAAGCTAGTCGGTAGGAGGGTTACTGGCTAGGGGAAGTGGTTTAACACTTCAACGCAAGTGTGCCGGGTTGTCCAGAGGGAGAGCTCAAACCCTCAACCTAGACCTTCCCGGTAAGTTCTGTTTCGGCTTACCATTCTTGTGCTTGGGGCCCTATACTGAGCAGGAAGCGAGGCAACCTGCCCAACAGGACCTACGATGAAGCAAACTCCAAGCACGAAGCGCGCCCAACAACCCCAAGACACTCAGAGCCCTGCAACCTTCAAGCCCTACAGTTCCTGCACCTTAGAAACCTTACTGTTACAGAGCCCCCCAGAGGTTGACCCTTTCAGTAGCCCCTTACAGTGACCGAAAATGGCTCCTGAGGCCGGTCCCCGTCGTTTGGTAGCCGATCCTGCGCCGAAGCCGGACGTAGACCCGGAGCCGCTGCGGTGACTCGGACCACATAGGATCATGAGACTTAGCAACTACGGTTAGACATAAGGTAGCTATACTTATTACTTATAACCCCGACTGAGGTACTCATAAAATATGCATGGGGGGGCAGGGTACCAAGCAAGAGACACTACACCTACACGTCGTGTTAAGCCTGGGGCGCGTTGCACTCTCAGTACTCGTACAGCAACTGTGGGAGATGCACGAGTCGGAATCATATCCCCCGGGCAGCAGACGGGAGGTTCCTGTTTGCTTCAGATGTAGAGCCACTGTCTATCTGGTCTCCTGAACTGGCCTCGGTCTACAGCAGACAGAATAAGGTGATGTGGAGAATCTGCTTGACTATTCATAACTTGACCGCCTAAGCAGGCTTACGATGATTCATGTAAGGAGTTTGAACTGCAGGCTCCGTTTCGACCTTGGGCTTCGAACACGTCGATAGTCAAATTAAAGGTTTCTAACACGGGCAAGATGCTTATCTATACTATTTTGGGGGCTCCTGATTATAATGGTATACTGGGCCCCAGAACCCTATTCTACTTATTGAGGCCCCTACATTTAGGTGAAGATCTTTTCACGATCTTGGAACCCAGCTCCAGGTTCGCGCCGTCACTGATCCGGCGCAGGGTGCGTGTGAAGGGACCCAAGGCGTAGGCTCTACTCGGGCTCTCGAATGCCAAAGCAGAATAAACTGGGAAAAGGTGGGATGAAGCAGGGGTACAGGGTCTCTGATAAGTATATAAGGGCTCATATGCAGATGACATTACCTACCGCAAAGCTTCGCGCTACTATGTTCCTTCGAAGTTCTCTGTTTTTGATGCGGTGCTTCCGTGGTAGGACCTGGTTCGCCGGAGGGAACTAGATCTGTTTCGGGCTCGTCCCAAAGAAGAGGCATCGCCCTCGAACCGGAATACATCCTCAGTGTCATTCATGGCCAAGACAGACAGAACACGCAGGGACTCACAAGATGTGGATGCAGTTCGGTTGGCATTTGCACCCTTTCTCTACTCTTGTAGCGCGGTGCACTGTTTAAAGAGACAGGAGCTTCGCCAATTACGGTGATGCTCCGAACTCTCCATGTTTTCAAGAGTCACGGAGCAGCAGAGGGTTTTGCAGGGTTGCAGTTTGCCTAAGCCCTATACACCCTTAACCCTAAAACCGGCGGTCCGTGCCAGCTCTTTTGCTGCTCATGCAAAGCCCCGCTCCCGGATGCAACACGCATGGGAGGCTGTACATAGCGGGATTCCGTGATGTTGCAAATGAGCTTGGGTTTCGCACAAGACCTGCGCTCACCTCCCGCAACAAGGCGTGGAGGTGATGTCGGCTGGAAAAAGTGTTCTGTGGGCACTTGTGAGCTCGCTGGCGAATGCAGAAGGGGCCTAAGAAGCACTTGTTATAGCGTGGCACCACATCACGGACAGCACCACAAATCCGAATATGCATGCACACGCACGCGCAAACACCCACACGAATGCCTAGGCTAGCTTGGCAGTTGCGCAAGCTTTGTTTTCAGTTTTGTTGTTGCTGCACCTATGTGATTCGCAGCTGCTGGGGCTCCAGCCCACGGCAGAAGGCGGCGTAGTCCGCCGTGTGTGTCCTCCGTCATCTATAGTACTGTACCTTGGCCTTCGCATTTTGCAGCAAACGTTGGCTATGTGGGCCAGTGAGGCTCAGTGTTGACATGAGGTCTCAGTACCCTGTTCGGACTCACAAGCGGTTAAGCTCTCAGTTTCTTCTGTATCTGGGTTGATTGCTTCTGTGAGCCTTTTCCGCGCTCCGCTTAGGTGTGTGCTTTTGGTACTGCGGCTTGGTACGGCCTTGGCTTGGGCATCCACCTAGCGACCGTGGGGCGTTGAGGGGTGTTGGGTTGCGCTGGGCCATCAACTAGAGGACTTTACAGGGGCTCTGAGCACTGGTACTGGGCAGGTCGGACTTGGGGTGTTCTGAGCAATCAGATCTCTGGGGTTAAGTGCAGATCCGTTATTCGTAGGGATTTCAATCCGTTTGGGACTCATTTGGTTCCCCGTAGAGGCTCTTGCAGGCCGGATGCAAAAAAAACAGTTTGGGACTGACTGCAGCTCGGAATTCTGGGTTGAGGAGTCCGATGACCATTAGACAGGAACAGTTGCGACCTTGGTCCTGTACCCTGCCCAAACGCTGGCGAACCCCCAAAGACACTTCCACTGGCTTCGTAGAGTCCTTTCTACATCTTTAAACCCACTACAAGCAGCAGGCACTCGGACGATTCATGATTGCACAATTGAAGGATCGCGTCAGGGACTGAGTACGAGATCTGGGCTTGTTAAGAGCCCGACTAGTTACGAGTCCTCGGAAATATTTTAGATGCGAAGATGCTAGGTCCCGCGATCCTGCAATGAACCCTAAACCACCTGACGCCTTTTCCCTAGAGTGCGGAAAGCTCCAAACCCTAAGCCGCCTCAGATGAGCCGAACTTGTCCGAGGAATTGAGTCTGGAAAAGCCATGGGGACTGCAAAGGCTACCGAGGCCAGTGTGGGTGCACGTCTGAAAACAGACCAATAGCACGTGAACGAGTGCCAGATACTGTTATAAAGGATTCGCAGTACTTGCGTTAAGCATTTACGGTATTTCAAAGGAATGCCTTAACTCAATCTGTTTAGGATCAAGCTCCAGATCCTTTACCCTGAAGCCCTAGACTTCCTATACCTGAACGAGTTTTTGCTCTGCCTGCTTCTCACTGAGGGTGTTCCTGCAGTCTTTTGCCCTAAGCTGTGTGGTTCCAAACGCCCCGCGGAATCCGCTTTCATCTTGTTGGACACTGGCGAGAGGAAAAGGGTCGTGCAAAAAAACAAAACTCCCTATATAAAGCCTTCATGCTTCAAGCCAGGCCGTGCCATCCTAAACCTTTAGAGTTTAAGATTCCTAAGCCCGAAGGCAAAAAAGAAGCCTCTTCGACAGGTTCTCGAGGCGGCAATGGAGACGAAGCCTCTGCTTCGGGAGGATGCCCCGAAGATGATGCCCAAGGCCTCCGCATGGGGCTTTAGAGTTGTCCGGGTCAGAGACTGTTGGTTTAGGGTTTAGGGTTTTGGGGCTTTATGTTGGGATGTTAGGGTCTCCGAGCCTTAATGTTGCAACCCGAGGCGCTTGGGATTTCAATATCAGAGGCTTTGGGTTTAGGGTTTAGGGTAGGGTTCTATGGCATCGTCAGGCACGGTGGATAAGTGGCACCGAAGATCATGCCAGAGGCTTCGAATCTCAGGAGCCTCATGAGTATCCACGGCTTGAGGGACAGGGTAAGGATTCAAGTAGGTGGAGCTCTTATTAGCTGCTTGTCCCGTTGAGGGCTTAACTGATGAAGGCGATTGCACAAGCACTGATGCAAAAGAAACGGATGAAGGCATAGGAGACGAGGGTGTCGCAGGGCGGGGGCTTTCGACCGAAGGGGTGAGGTTCCACGATTTCCCTAAAGTTTGGGGGGCTTGTGAAGACGAGGTCTGAGAGGATGTGAAAGGCTTCCCCCGAATGCGAGCTGAGGGCCTTAAGGACTCAAAGTTCGAAGTCTGGTCTTGCACCTTCCAGCTTTCCGGCAGATTGAGAGAGGTTCTCAGTGACGACGGCATCGGTAATCGCCCCCCCTTATCTTTCCACCATGTTCCACCAATCACTTTGCTTGTGTGATGTTGGGACTGCAAACCATCTCCAACCCCCAAATCTGAATGGGGTATGTTGTTTGGTTTGCCTCCGCAGTCTGCATTCCTGCGCAAGATGTTGCTTGTAGGGGTTGGGTCCTAGCTGTTTTTGTGGGATTTCGCTGTGCCTGAATTTCATGGGAACATAGGACCTGGCGAACACCAAGATGCTTGCATGGTGCATCATGCTTCATGACCCTTCCAAGGCACATCCACACGAGTCATAGTACGGGGGCTCTACTCTTGCACTCTTTTGACGGGTCTCGGACATGTGTTGAACCACAGCAGGCTCATTCCGGTCCTGCTACCGCGCAAGTCTGCAGGTCTTCTGGAGTATCGCACTCATCGGTTCCTCTGCAGCCTTGATCAATTACAACAAGTACCTGATCCATCCGACACGGCCCCTTTGCTTGAGCATCAGTTCGTGATGCTACCATCCGGCCCCGTCGTCCCAGTTTCACCTAGGCGGCGTTGGGGTCAACCTTTTTGCCTATTTCACACGGTATAATTTCAGTTCACAGCTCACGCTGACCACTAGATATAAAATGCTCATAGAGAGCCTAGTCAGGTCCTGCGCTTAGTAGGACACCTGTGGTACTGCTTAGATTGTCGACCGATGCAAGCCTACTTGGATTGGAGGTTCATGGGTAGTTATATGTGGGGTTATAGTATACTTAGTATACTTACGCTTGGAACTCCACTTTATAACAGCCCACACGACATACCAAATAGTCAGATCTCGAACCCTCAGCCAGATCGCGCTCCTCATCCCAGGTTTCCATATCCAGTTGTGTCGCTTGGAGAAACTTACTTTCAAGCCCCTTGACCCGATGCATCTCCCAAGGACTCCCCCGAGCATGGGTGGGGTAAAAAAATGACAGGGGTTTAGGGTTTAGGGTTTAGGGTTAGGCATACGTAGCCTTGCTGAGCCAGCTGGATGAAGCACTCTGATCACATCAAACCCGGAAGCACCAAGAGCAGACAACATCTTTTTGCATCCTGTCTGCGAAGCCTTCGGGGCGGCAGAAGACAGGAGACACCTTGTTCGCGTGATTCTGCCTCCATGCGAAGGCCTAGACAAGCTGAAGCCCTCGATGGGTGCGACAACGTTATGAATCTATGTGCCCAAGCTTTGCTCCCTTGTTCCTGGTAGGCTGACAGCCGGGACAGTGCTGTATGCCAGACATTGGGCGGAAGGACCAAATCGAAAGTCTTTAACCCCGATTTCGGCTTCAAGATTCTTCGCAGAGTGGACAGGGTGTTGGTTCCAAGCAGGACAGCCCTCATTTCGCTATGTCCCAGCGATAGATCCATATAGATCCTACATACTGAGGCCGCCTGTCATTCAACCAAACCTTTCGGAAAAGCAGCACCGGGCATCTCAAACAAACAGCCACAAAACAAAACTGATGCCTGACTGTACAAAGCCAAGGAGACCACAACACAGAAAGATTGTGTTAAGAACGCATAAGACAATCACCTATTGTAACGAAGCTCTTTCAAAGAACAAACCCCATGAACAACCCGTGTGTATGTTGCACAAAGAGCATAAGACAAGCCCCTTTGCAAGGCTGGTGTTCCTGCACATGCTTGGCGGCTCCATCTTGAGCTCCTTCCTCCTGCTGACGCAGCCTGGCAAGAGGTTTAGGGGTTAAGGGTTTAGGTGTTTTGGGTTTAAGGGCTTAGATAGGGGTTGAGGGTTTAGGGTTTCGGGAGCCTGTTCAGGTGCAGGCCTCTAAGATGGGCATGCTTAGGGTTTCAGTTGGCTTTATTCCGGATTTTAGGGGCCTTTTGGGTTTAGGGTTTAGGGTTGCAGTTGGCTTGATTAAGGGTGAGAGGGTCGAGGATTTTGGGGGCCTTATGGGTTTAGGGTTTAAGGTTTAGGGTTGAGGGCATCAGGGTTCGGGGTGGTCGGCGCATAGGAACGTATTTTCACGATTGCATTGCATCGCTGCGCATCCATCTGCGCCCGTCGTTGCTGTATGCTTTTTTTGACATGTTAACCCGAATTCCGAATGTGCCGACACAGTTTAAGGCTCTAAGTTCCTTAAAGCGCACCCTCTACCCCCATCTCAATTGAAAGCTAAGCCCGCGTCAACCGGATTTAGAAAGAAGTAAAGAAGCCCCCATAGGCCATGGGCCGTTCTGATCCTTCCACGTGTTGGGCCAGGTCACAGAAGGGCCAACATCCTGGAAGTCGAATTCCGTTTGTCTCCGCCCTTTGCTTCCGCTGTCATATTCCCCAAAGCCGCCTCTCTGAGCCCTGAGAAATCCAAGAAGTTCTTGTGACGCAAGGAACCCAGCCCTCTTCCCTGCGCTGACCGATCCGGACAAGAAGGAACATGGGGGTTTCCGAAAATAGGGGACCCTAAGATAATATCCCAACTAGTAGGATCCTTATTATAAAAAGGACACCAAAAATACGGTACCCCTAATTATCAGAAACTCCCACATTGGAGAGGGCTGTAGGAGGGTCGCAGGTTTTGGAGTCTTGGAGCGCGAAGGTCAGGGCGCGACTTGCAGAAATATAGGGGCCTCAAAAATTGCCTATACTATTTTGGGGGTTCCTTATAAGAACTATACTATAGAGGACTCCCCAAACCCTCTTCTTAATATTAAGGCCCCCCTGGTAAGGTTGTAGGGTGAAGCCTCCTAGAATTCTTCTGAGGGGACTGTGTGACACAGGTTGAGTCTTCCTCGGCAGAAGATTGACCCCTTACCTGTAGTCTCCATTGTAGTTTCTTTTTGGGGATACCTTACAAAATCCTAATCCTTAATATATAATTGGTTAAACCAGAAAAAGGAACTACAATGGAGACTATAGGTAGCCCTGACGGTCTGTGGGTTTTGGGGGTTCAGGCTTAACTGTTCTGGATCCAGATTGATTCCAGAACTCTGGGACCTGGAAAGACCTCAAGGATCTTACAACATCCTTAATATAGGGGCCTTAATAGTTACAAATAGGGTTTGGGGTATGTTATACTATAATTATAACAAGGACCCCCCCCAAAAAAAAACCTACTCTCATTATTATGGCCCCTACATTGAGCCGTAAGCCTGGGTAGCAAATCCGGGCTGAGGGTTTCAAGCCGGAGTCTTCGGAGTTAGGCTGTCTGCTTTTGCCGACACCCTACGAAAAATGCGCTCGACCGGCCTTAGTAAGTCATAGTCCTAAGGGTCCATCTGCCCATCTAAGAGGAGCTGTGCGTCTCCTCACTATAGAGAACCGCCTTGTGGATGTATAGATCTATCGATCTGCCATCTATGCACCTATCTATCCACCCACCCATCCGTCCGTCCGTCCATCCATCCCTATCTATCCTACAATACAGGTACGTGGAGCCTTAGGGTAAGCAAAATTAAACTCCAAAACCCCAAGCTAGCAGGTCGATATCAGCTCCAAGTTCCTCACGCGACGGGTTCTGCCTGTTGGGCTCTTGTTCACGACCTCCCTGATCCTCAGCCGCTGAAATGCAAGCAGGATGATTCGGTTTATTTATGGGGCGTAGGCTTCAGGGTTGATTTAGGGCTTAAGTCTATAGGGCTAAGTTAAGGGTTCGTACGGGATGCAAGCAGAAGTTCTAGCAGCGCCACGTGCTAGAAAGTCGTGGGACGAAGTCAACGGCACTGAGGCAAAATGACCCGCAATTCTTGGTCAGAGGGGAATTAAGACTCAGCTCGTCAGACCACAAGGTCAGTCCCGGCTGCGTACCGTACAGAAAAGACCCAAGTGCAGATGCGCCGAGGCAACACGGCGTACCAGTACGTCGCAAGGCTGCAATATGAGAGGCCGGTGGGTCTTCGAAGCCCAAAGCTCAGTGGAAGGAGGCACAGCCTTTAGGACCGTATGCCCTTTCGTGGTTCTCTTTTGTAGGCTTTGGCTTTCACCAAAACCTCAACCCTGAACCCCACCTGGCAGAGCATTTGAGGCGAATGTTGCCTTCCTCCAGATGGTGAAGCAGAGCCGCTTCTCTAAATATGCAGAGTTCTTAATCAGCAGAGTATAGAAATTATAGTCAATGCCGTATCAGACCGTCTTATGATTTCTGGATGCCCGAAACCTATATAGTTCAGGGCTTAGGGTGTCTGCAAGAAGAAGTGTGATACTTCGAATATGCGACTTGGGGTTAAGGGGCCATCATCGCCCTAGATTTCTCGCTTTCACATCATGATCAGTATACTGTCGGGTTCCAAGGAGAATTGCTCTACAGGTTTGAGGTGCAGTGTACAGGGGTGCTGGTAGCTTGAGCTGCGTGTCGCTTGTATCTCGACCGCCTCATCTTTGCCGTTGAATCAGCGGCATGTGGGAGTTTGTTAGTGCAGTTAATGCGCTCCACACGGTAGAACCCTAAGTATTACTTAGGAGCCCAGTAGGTAAACTTTAAAGACTTTTTGGTATACTGAACCCCCTACTAAAAGAAAAGTTTAAACTTTTTTGGGCCAGGGTACTGGGCTTAACGGATTATAGGATCCTGAATTATAGGGACCCGCTCCCTCAAGATGGACCCCTGATCCTCTGAAATCCCCGTGTGTGAGCCAGGCAACGTGATCATTGTCTTCGTCTTCTCGTTGATGCTGGGCCTGGAGCAGCCCCTGTGATTGCATGAAGATGCCAAACAAGGGGTAGATGCCTAATGTGCTGAAGTTGAGGGCTAAGATTTTGTTTCGAGTTCTGCAACATGCAGGTTTTGCTACTCGTACCTCTGTAGGGCTCCGGCCGTTGACGGCTCCAGCAGTTCAGTAAGCTGGCGAAGAACCCGGACCATTAGCAGCTCTCATCCTCCTTCTCGGAAGAGGCAGCTTATATACACTCTGCACGGTTTAGGGTTCAGGGTTTAGGCTGTCGCCAGCAGAGTCCGAAGCCTTCAGCCTTACTCCACAAAGCCCCGCAGGCCCCCAAAATCCAAGAGCCAAACCAAGCCCTACAGAGGTCAACCCAACACCCTAAACCCTACTTGGAGGATCATGAGACCTAGTAAGTAAGGTTCTAAGTCCCCTAATTGGGGTTATAAGTATAGTTCCCTTAGATATAACCCGACTTACTAAGTCCCATGATCCTTTAAGTAGCCCTATAGCCTGGAAAGACCGAATGTGCGCTCTCCCCAAAATCCTGTTTCGAGGTTCCGGGTCCGGATGGCGCTTGTCCTGGTTTGTGCCGCCTGGCGAAGATCTCAACAGGCTTAGGGCTTTTCAATCTAGAAATTGTAGAGTGCACAGTGAGGATCAGGGAGGCTCTGGCTCTGAGGATTTAGTCTCAGGAGTTTGGGGATTGGGCTTTGGGGTTCGTTTGTTTCATGGCTACAGCTTCCCGAGTCTAGGCGAAACCCCATCGATGGCCGAGGTCATGGTGGCGAGTGAGATTTCGTATGGTCCTTGAAGTGGCAAAAGGGAACTTCCTAACGACAGTTTTGAGACAGGCGCTAACGGCCAGCTTACCCGAAACCCAAAGCTTATAGCCCCAGCAAAGGTCATGTTGGCCACCACCCTGACGGTCCATGGCGAGATGAATTTCTCGCTGACTGGGTTTGCAGCCCAAGATGAGGGATGTTTAGTAGGGTTTAGGCAGCAACAAAAGGGCAAAGAGGGTTGGGTTGTGTTTAGAGTGTTGGGTCTAGAGTTTAGGCTTTTAGTGTAATAGTCTCTTGTAGTCCCTCTGTCACGATTGTAGCATATTTGGGCCTGCATGATTAGGAATAGTGCTCCTATCTCGCCCCTTTATTCAAGCTCATGCAACTTAAAACCGCATTCTAATTATGAAGGCACCGATGTCAGTTTTCTGAGGGCTTGAGGCGCTGCTTGCAGTGCGCCTGGCTGTCATCCATGAAAAAGATCAGATGCAACAAAGGTCCAGGCGGCTGGTGTGAAGTTGTTCAGATCGGGCTTTAGAGTTCCGGGTCGGGGGATCTTGCAGCTTTGACGAAGGGTTTCGGGTTTAGATACAGTAGTCTTAGGGTTTAGGGTTTAGGGTTTAGGCGGTATCTAAACAGTCTCCGGCTTTAAGTTTCAGCATGTTTCAGCCCAATCGCCGAGTTCTTGCAATCCTTCCAATCCTTGAGCGTCTCATCACGATCTTTCGTGCTCTCTCAGGCTAGGTAGGTAACCTCTCAATGCATTTAGCTTGTTTGGGCAAATATGTTCTTGCCAGACATTGCAGCTACTCAGCCCGCACATGTTCAATTTGGAATTCTGAGGACCAGTGGTCTTCTAGGGGTTTGACCGAGCTTTCTCCTTAACCCGGCAACACCCGGTGCTCCGTGCTCATTTGCCAGAACCCTAGATCTACCGACCCATGCAGTCAAAGACTTACCTCGTTGTTTTTTGGTCTCAGGTGGAGGGGTGAGGCAAAACCTTTGGCCAACCCATTCATCGACTTGCTGGCCAACTGGTGGCTCCTTAAACCCCAAGCACGACACTTTTTTGGTCTGCATGGAAGGTTCCTTGTCCAGCTGTCGTGCAACTTTGCAGAGTCCGCGAAGGTCGTACTGCAAGGCCGGTGGCATGCAGCTCTATGTCGGCTAGTATGGGTTCAACAGTACTTTCATACGTTTAAATCATTTATTTTAAATCAATCAAAAATCAAACGAACAAATAGATGAATCGGAGCCAAAATATCTATCTGTCCATGTCTCTCTGTCTCTCTCCCGTTCTTCGTCGCTCGTGACCTTCAGGCGTCCTCCTGGCCGGCCATGGTCTCAGATGCTTCAGGGCTGAGCGTAATGTAGGGGCCTAAATAATCATAGTTTAGGGTTTAAGGGGGGCCTAAATAATTACCAACATTATTTTGGGGGCTCCTTGTTATAGATATAGTATAATGGGCACCGAACATCCTATTCTGATTCTGAAGGCCCCCTATGGTAGGAACGGGTTTTGGGGCGAGGGCTTTGGAAAGTTTGGTATTCAGAGGAGAGAAGAACGGCGGGTCTAAACCCTAAGCCTTGACCCTGAGATCGTAGGTTCGTCCTGGCCAGGCGGGAAGCAACCTAGCATGGGTTGACAAGTTGCTCAAAGACTCTTTTAGGAACATCACCGAAAATGTTCAAGAAGGCAATGTAGAGTTTTTGATCTCAGAAACCCTGCTGGGGTGTTCTTTTCATTCAGTAGGCTCCGGCTGCTTATTTCGACTATGCCTCTGCCTCGTGGTTCGACCAACATGTCCTGTCCCATGACTGGCGAAAGCTCCTGCCCTAAACTCTACCTCGCTAAGCACGGCTGAAGTTCTACAGCTGAACCTTCAGCCGTATGGCTTCGAGAAGAGATCCCACTGAACTAGTCAGATCTCACACGAGCTAAACATTAAGCCGGAAAACCTAAACCCTAAACCCCTAAATCCTAAAAACAAAACCCCTAAATCCTAAAAACAAATCCCCTAAACCCTAAAAAAACAAAACCCCTAAATCCTCCGAAGTCGAGGACCCTGGCTCTCTCGCCGCCCGCCCTCATGAACAGTGAAGCCCTGAAGCTGTTTAGTGGCGTCTAGACGAACTGATGAGGCGCATGTGATTCTTTGTTTGTGCCTCTAATATACGTTGAAATCCGTGGGTCAAATGCATGGTTTTAGCTCTATGTGGGTTTTTCCTACTCTTAGCTCCACTTACAATCTGCTCACTTCGTCTCTTGAGCTTCTAACTGCAGCTTACAGAGTCCAGCGGTTCGGAACCTCACCTTCTCAGGTGCGGGTCGTAAGTTGGACCCCTTGTCCTTCGTGGCCACGGTGTCGCCGATGTGTGCACTTTGCTTAGGAGGCCGATTGGGGACTGGACAGGCTCTCGGGGCTTGGGGGGTTTCCTCACAGGTCGTTATAAGTGGAGTTATAAGTTCCTTGATACAGGTAAAGACTGTAGTTGCACTACTTAAAACCCTGCTAATATCCCTGGGGTTATAAGTGGAGTTTTATAAGTCCCTTATTTCAGCTAAGAACTATTTCCTTATGGCCCTAAACCCTAAACCCTACTTATCATCCTCCGACTCACCCTACTTATGTTTGATCCATCGCAGGCGCCAGACCTAGGCTCTTCCGAGTCCTAGGCCCATGGAGACCTGTGCCCACGGAAGTTCCTAATCGAATTTGTATTAGATGATAGTAGTAATAATATATATATATATATATATATATTTGATATGATAGTAATGGTTATGTCGGTCTGCATAATTCAGTCATAGTGCCCCTTCAACAATTGCAAGCCGGTTCCCTTCCGAATGCAGGTATCCTTCTTCTGCAGCCACATGCCCCGCGGCGGGCGTTGAAGAACTAGAGTTGGGCTCACACACTCAATGCTAGCATCCACGCATCGTCGCGATATAGTTTATACTACAATATGCCGGGAAACACTATTCTAACCATTTAGCATCCCCACAACCCCCCAAGGCAGCTGCAAGAGTACCCGCCAAGAAGCGAAACCCTATACAGACACTACCCATAGGCCCCATAGTAGTTCCTTTTTGGGGCTCATATTTAAAATCCTACAAGGCAGTCCCAAAAAGGAGCCACTATGGGGCCTATGGGTA